ACATATAAGATTGATTGAGACCTTTGAGGCTGCATAGAAATAAGGGCGGAACTTGTATTTTGACTTGAAAGCAGAACCATCCTGCAATTAAATTAGAAAATAGGTACATAATTAATCACCATAAAATAAAACTGATTATGTTAAACATTTTTATAGAATATCTTACCTGCGAAACAAAATACAAATCGACGCAACTATAAACCTTACGGGTGTCTTGATCCTCCCAAGATGACTGCAAATGTATAAGGAAGCATCCATCATTTATAAATGCCAATCATTAAGGTATTTGAACTCAAACTTACCACCAAGTGGTTATACCATATCAAAAATTAACAAAGAAAAACAAAAACATCAACAACAACAACAATAAAGAATAATAAAACTTCAAATTTGATGGTTCATTTAGAAACTCTAGTCAAGCAGCAGCAGGATTTGTAATTAGAAACTTCAAAGGAAATGTTAAGATTGGTGGCACTTACTATTGGTTATGGTTCGGTCCTTCAAACTGATATTGCAGCCTTAAAGTATGGTTTACATTTGGTTAAATTATAAAATAAATAAAAATTATTATAGAAGCGGATTCTAACGTTTTAGTTGATATTTTAAATTCTGGTACTACTAATATTCCTTGGAGTATTTTATCGTAGGTTAGAGATATTCGAAGACTTCTTCTAAAACTGAGCATTTTGACTTTCATCAAGTTTTCCAAAAAGCTAACATGGTTACAGATTCCTTATCAAATATAGAACATAAGTATTCACAACCTTGTGTTTGGTTTTCCAATTTTCCTACTAATGTGACAATTAAAATCTACTTTGATGTACTATTGGGTCCCAAGGAGATCTCCTATGTAAGTTTTTTCCTTTTCATAAAAAAGAAATGAAGTATAATGCAACTGAGTAGGGTAAACAAAGTTGAGTTTTTCAATTGTTTGCAGTATATTGTTTTTGTGTCCTAGAAGGTGAATATTACACCAGTAAGCAAACTATTCAAAGAATGACAGTGGCTAGGCTTTATATGAAGCATAGAATAAATTGCACAAAATATACCAAGATAGAGATATTTCAAAAGTCAGCAAAAATTCTCACTCACATAGCCCAAGAATAATAACAAAATTCAAGTAATTTTATCCAACTTTCCATTACAAAATGGCTCCAAACACAGCTTAAGCCTTCAAAATCCCATATTCCCCCTTTTTCCTTCGCTATCTCAGTAACCAAACAGACCAAGAAAAAACGCAGATTTCTAAAATGGAAGAACAAATGGGCAAAAATTGATTGGTACAGAATCAACTTACGGATGCGAAAGTGAGCAGCCATCCGAGCCGCTTATCGCCTTCGGAGAACAGATCGAACCCTAGCTTCGACTCGAGCTCTTCCTCAGCGCTGCGCATAACCTTCTGCTTCTTGGAGCTCCATGAGCTTCCACGGTCCCGTTTTCGGCTCTGGAAGCCGCTCATTGTGTTTGGCCTGTGAAATGGAAATCCGTCTGAGATTTGCTCTCAGACTTTGAGACTGAGAGAGAGAGAGAGAGGGTTTCAGAGGGATCAAAGCGTTTTCCCGCGCTTGCATCTCCTACGCCTTTATATTATTTGGTTCCTATGACGGAAATGGCCCTTCGGTTGATCAAATTTTCGAGTAGTGCCACTGTTTGAAAGTACCATCGGATAATTTGTGGAGCCCGACTAACTTGGACTTTGGGACAGTGTCCGGCCTGATTGGCTCGGCCCATCATGAAACAAATTTATGGACACGCCTAGGAGCAGCAAGAGAGGGCAGTTTTTTGTTTTTTGTTTTTACAAGAGATATTAGAAGAGAAGAATCAAATTGAGGATTTCAAGTGCCGGAATAAATATTCAAGTAGTTACGAGTCCCTTACATAGGGAAGCTACTTTAACGATTTTTGTTTTATACACCCAAGGAATTGATCAGCGCATCTGTAGTTTAATGGCAACTATTTTTTTCTTGTTTGGTGCTGAATTTGTCCCATGACAAGTTTTTATCTCCTTGTGAAAGGGCAAGAAAGAACGAAACTTAAACATTTAAAACTAAAACTTTTTAAATCGAAAAATAAAATGTAAAAGAAGGTGTACATGGTCTCCACCAACTTAAAGGATTAGTTTTCAAATGTTTTCAAATTTTGTTGGATGTATTGAACAAATGTATATATTCAAAATTGAGGTACAAGTTTAGGGTTTCATAAATGTGTAGTTTAATTAGAGTTTTAATTTTACAAAATTAGTGAAACACCCAATTCTAGACATGAAACTATAAATATACCCTACACTATTTAAAATATAGAGACACACCCAAAATAAACCCAAAAATCAACAGCTGTATATTTTTTAATTTAATTATTAAGAGGAAGTACCTTTATTACCCTTTTAACATAAAATTGGAATTCTAATCAACACCAGATCAGAATTCATTTCACGACCTCCAGTCTTTCATCTTCATCTTCAACCCCAATTTTCAGTTTTTGTTCTTCCACCTCAGTTTTTGTTCAACCTCATCATTCTAAGTTTCGTCAGAGGGCTCGCCTGGGCCACAGACAATAATGTGCTGGAGAGAGCCTTTTCTCTGTTCGGTGAGATCATCGAATCGAAGGGCCGTTTGACGCATGTTCTCTATCTCCTACTTGATCTTCTGTTTCTCTATGTTACTTGATCTTTCTCTCCCAAAAATTGAAGATAGATCGATCGATTCCTTTTCCTTTTTTATTATTATTGTGTATTTGTTTGATTATACTCCAACGTTTTGGTTTTGATGGACGGATCTGATTTGATTTGGTTTCTTTTTGTGTTTCCAGAATATCAACAACCGTGAGATATAGAGGTCTAAGGGCTTCAGCTTTGGCTTCGTCACCTTCAGCAATGAGAAGACCATGAGAGATGCAATCGAAGGCATGAACGACCAAAACCTCGATGGTCCAAACATCACCGTCAACGAAGCTCAGTCTTGTGGAAGTCGCGGTGGTGGTAACAGAGGTTACAACTGCAGAGGTGGCAGCGGAGCATTGCCTATTTGGTTTGATTTTTCTCTTTTTCTCTATCTCTAGTTTAAATGTGGAAAATTGATTAAAAAAACAATTTGTAGATATTTTCTGAACTTTAGTTTGCTATTCGGTGTTGGTTGATTTTGAATTGGTCATATGTGTTGGCAGAAAATTCATGCATTGTTGTCTCTCGTCTGTAGTTGTTCAATTTAATCCCTACAAGAGCTTGTACCCAAGTGTGTGAGGCTGTTTCATGTTTGATGTAGTAGCACTAGTCATTTTGATTTGGCTGTAAGATTTAGCTATAAGGAATTGTTTTCTGCGTTTTGAAACCAAACCAATTTCTCATTTGAAGCAATAAGTTTCTAGAATCTGTCATACACATGAACTTATTTGATGACTCCAAAGACCTATATTAATTTCTTGGATGATCAAATTGACTATTTTCAATATGAAATGCTTGCTAAATATGCATCTCTAACCCGAGTGTAGCGCAATGCTCTGCAACTTAACCCACAGAGCTTACTATTGAATGAAAAACAAGATATCCTCTTTTTATTTTCCTTTATTGATCTACTATATGGAGTTTCTTTGCTTTTTCTGCCCCGTTGAATTATGAATATGGATTTCTTAGTTCAATTTAGAAAATCTATGTCATTCTCTTATTGGTTCAGCATATATCTATTGAAATTTTGATGCGGGGAGTGAATGATTTCATATTATCCCTGTAGTTTGTAGTGAAATAGTAGACTAATGAAATTCTATATACTATTTCACCTTATCAGTTATGCGCTTTGGGCTTATGATTGTTATCTGTGTTGTTCCAATTATTTTATTATGCTTAATTATTTTGTTCTTATTTCTTGTTGTCAGATTTGGTGAACAACCTTAGTACCATTGCAAGGGTAGCACCAAGGAATTTATAGAAGCCTTAGCCACTTGGTAGTTGATTTTGAAATGATGTAGTTGATTTTGAGTGGTATGGAGTTGTAAACATTTATCGTACCTATTATGCAAATAAAATGATGTAGTTGTTAACTTCCAGTAAGTGGTATGAACAGTTGTTATATTTTTCATCCTATTCAATTGAGTTGATTTCTATAACATAGTATTAACAGTGTACTTCTATGAGATAATATTAACATATTTGCAGTAACAAAGCATGCTTTATATTTTGTTGTATATATGGCTGTGCACTTGAAGTTTATGATATGCAAAATGTGATTCTTACTAGGAATATAGTTCTATGACATAGTATTAACAGTGCACTTTTTTTTTTTTTTTTGTAGAGGTATTTCCTTTTGCCTTTGTGATTGTTTCTGGTGAAACTATGGACAATTGGAGGTGGTTTCTACAAAGGATATCGAATGTCTTGTTAGATTTTTTTTAATTTTTTTTTGAATTTTTTGTAAGAAATGGTATTAACAATGTACTTCTATGACATGATATTAATAATGTACTTCTATGATATGGTATTAACACTGTACTTTTATGACATGGTATTAACAATGTACTTTTATGATATGATATTAACAATGTACTTCGGGCTTGCTGGGCTTATTTTGGGTTTTTTTTGAGTTTTTTGTGTTGGGCTGGTTTTAAGTTTATTAATGGCAACCATGTAATTTATAGGAACTTCAACACTCATTTTTTATGTAGTAAATGGATTTTAGGTGTGTTTCTAAAGTGCATTTCATATGAGGTTTTTTTATAATTTCAACTTCTATTTTGGGTATATTAGTGAAGCTCCCTTTTAATTTTTGGACTAAGTAGTTGATTCGAGTTCGGTCCATAGAGCAGTCTTGGGGAAAGATGGATTTGAGACTCAAAGGCATATATATATATATATATATAATTGAGTAGTGGAAATCGAATTAAGACCTCATATGCATGAGTAAGTGTAGTTTTTTATTTTTTATATACAAGTCAAACTCAAGACCACAGCTTTGGATGCAACGAGAGGTTATAATGAAGAGTCCTTGATAGCCGTCCGATTCAGTGCATAATTATTATTGTATTGGATTGCAGAATTATAATGAAGGGGTTATAAAATTATTAAACGTAGAGCCGTAGACATTTTAGATCAAAGGCTTTTCAGAAGCTGCAGAGATGACGGAGAGGCCAAGGGTGTCAATGACACTGCTAGCAATAGTGGTTCTGCCAAATTTTCTATGTGTATGCAACGCGATTGAGTCACCACAGTACTCGGTGGTTCACTCAGAATCAGACTTTGATATCAGACTTTACAGAGAGACCTCATGGATGTCTGCTCCTGTTAAAGACATCTCCTTTGAGAAGGCCACCAGAAATGGCTTCCACAGGTACTTCCACTTATATACTCACCTTAGCTTTTGATTTTATCTTCTGGGCTTTTAGTTTCATCAAACAATTATGAATTACCACCATGAAATTTTATATCTTTGAATTTGGTTCTTTATTTGAGTCTAATACCCCATCATTGTGATGGTTTTCTAATTGTTTGGAACAAAAATTGTGAAATACCCACCATGGGTTTCTCTCTGAACCCACCAATTACCTCCTGATTGAGTAGAAAAATCCAATCTTTTGCCCCATGTGTTTCCTCATTGATATAAGATAAACAGGAAATCGTAGCAGATGATGTTATTGATAGCTTTCTGGGAATATGGGTGTAGTTTTCTGAAACAATAAGTTTTTTATGGATAAATAGGAAAAAATCTGAGAGGTGCTGAAAGAATGCAAAGTTAATTGAGATGGTTTTGATATTTCAATAGAAAGCATGCTATGGTGAATCATTTCTTCAAAATTATAGTTCTAGGATGCCCCTTTCTTGGGTTCAATTAGCTTGGTTATGTTTGCCGATTCGCTGATGTCCTGAAATCATCATCACAATCACCTGCGACATCTTTTAGCAATAGATACATTGCCTTCTACATGTAGATGAATCTGTTGGACAGTCTCCGATATGTGCCGGTTGGTGTAAGAAGTTGATATATGTGGATCCTCTTGCGAGTCCGGTGTACATCAATGGCTGACAGCCACTTAATTCATGGGTGACTGTCCAAAACAAAGCTTTTACGTGTACTGTTTCGTCAAAATAGAGACTCACTCACTGCAAATATATGTAGTTTTCTTGTGAACATTATATTATGGCACATATTATACAAACTCAGTTGGATATGCTTTTGCTAATGATAAACTTGGCTATGCATGATATGCCTTTCTTAACTTTGTTCAACCGATGGCTACCGTCTGCACTTTGCCTGGGTTATTTCAATTTTAAACTTAGATGTCGTTGGTCTATGCTAATAGTTTCCTGATTAACTCACAGGCTGTTCCAGTACATCCAAGGTGCCAATTTGAATTTCTCTCGAATTGCAATGACAGCTCCCGTGCTGACAAGCATAGTCCCAGGAGCTGGCCCCCTTCACTCATCGGCCTATTTTGTTAGTTTCTACTTGCCTACAAAGTTCCAAACTACTCCACCCACACCTCTCCCTGAACTCGGCTTGGAACCCTATACCTGGGACAGTCATTACGTTGCCGTCAGGAAGTTCTCTGGATTTGCAAGAGATACTAACATAGTGCAAGAGGCAGAGAAGCTTGCTACCAGCTTGAGCAGGTCTCCATGGGCAAATTCTACATCAGAAGAAAGCAGCTATGCTTATTCAATCGCGCAGTACAGCTCCCCATTCCGAGTTATTGGGCGTGTGAATGAGGTTTGGGTGGATGTCAATCCATCTGGTTTAGGTGGCTATAAATACAGTGAAATAGCTACGTCCTGAAATTCTTCAATTACTCAATGTGACATTCAAGGGAGTGATCTATGAACCAGACAAGAAGTGGTACATCTTAATCTCCTTAGGTGCATCTGTATGTATGTATATGTGTTTGATAATCTGCATGTAATATGTCTCTGCGTTCCATTTTTTTGGGAAGTATGAGCCAGTGAAAAATAGTACAATATAACATCAAGTCCAAAAATATAAAAACATTAGTCCTTCGTGGTTTCCTATGTCGAGGCGTGGGAGAGCTTATTGATATGCTACCAAATATTTGGCTGCAGGAATTGAACCCTTCACAAATCTGTTTCACAAGTTTTTCTATGGTATTCCTGGCATCTCCAAGAGATGAGGCAATTTACCTCAAATATTTGCCTCATCAAAATGTGTTCGATATTTTCACTTAAGAGATGAGACAAATGGTTATATCAACTATTGTCCTATGTGTTGCACGGACACCAATTAGCTGAAGTGTCGGAGTGTCGAACACTCGAACACGGTCAAAACACTCCCCAACATGGTCAACTTATGGTCAAGACATGGCAGGGGCGATTTTGAAATTGTTTTTAAAGAATGGCTCAAAACACAATTATTGAAACATGGTATGATAGTAGTTGACCCTACATACGCAAGTAGTCTGCTATTATTATTGTGTTTGATTAATAATATTCCACTAGAAAAAGTACAAATTATGTAAAGATTATGAGGAAGCAGTTCTGTATGTTTGGATTGACCTTAGTAGTTCATTTGTTGCTGTTTGTACCAAAAATGGAAAAAAGAGCAATAAGTGTTTAATTTGAGGAACTTAAGGGGGTGTTTGGTATCCTATTCAAATATGGAACTAAAAAACTTTGATTTTTCTTAAAAACAAGGAGTTCTTAAATCTATTTTTAAGATTCAAAAACTTGTTTGGTATGCAACTTGAAAACTGTTTTCAAATCTTAAAAATTTGAGAACTTGTGAGTTATTAGAAAAAAAAACTGAAAAAACATATACATATTTTTTTAATAATTATGGTGTTTTTTAGTTGTTCTTGAGTTTGAATTTTTAAAAATAGTGCTATCAAACTGGTTTTTTTTTTATTTTGACTCAAATTCTGTTTTTGATTTTAAAAGTTGAATTTAAGTTGAATACCAAACATGCCCTAATTTATTTTCTCAAAAATGCCCGGACCGAAGCATTAATGTCTTTGCAGTATAGGGCTTCTTCACTTCATAATTGGCCCATAATTTGGTTTAATTCTCAAGTCCATTATTCGTATCCATATCTGACTTTGACCTGTCAAGAAGTTAAAAGGCAACGGTCTTTTCACAGGTGGCACATGCTGATTCGAGAAGAGACCAAAATAAACTATTTTTCTTAGCACTTTGACCTCTCAATAAGTTCAAAGGCAACGGTCTTTTCACAGGTGGCACGTGCTGATTAGAGAGGAGACCAAAACAAACTATTTTTCTCAGCACTTGGAGCAAAAGCAAGGCAGTTAGGTCCGTCCGATCAAGATTTAAACAAGGCTTAAACGTGAGCTTTCAGTGGTGCTTTATCCGTTATTTTTGCATTTTCTTCTCCACTTGAGATTAATTAACAAAAAGAGAGAATTCGTAATGATGCTATTTGAACCCAGAATTCTATTATATGTTCATCATCATCGGGTTTAAATATTCAGCCTATAAATAGAAAGCTATGCAGCAACATTCGAGGACTCTCTCTCCAAATTAGACACAACGTCTTTAAACACTACAGACTTCAACCCAATCAATACCTTATCTTAAATTGAGTTCTTAATTTAAACCAATCTCACCCCCAAATATCATCCAGTCGACAATTCCTGCGATCATCTTCTTTGCTGCTTTGCCAAATACTTGGTATGATTCATTAGCATCACTACTCATATTTCTCAAATAGCTAAACATTCAAATTGGATGAAGACATCTACAACTTTCATTTCCTTTTATTTGTAATTGTATTATATTAAGACAAGTGATCTTGCGTCTTCATTCATTTCATGTTGTACTAGAATTGAATTAAGAAGTTTTCATTTCCAAGTATTTTGTTATTTACGTTTAGAAAGCAATTTATTTTAGTATTTACTTTAAATTCTATCAAGGGCATATAGGGTTTATCCGACAAGGCCAACCTGGTCAAGGGTTTTCTTCTTGTCCAATAAACAATACTTTGCCTAATCAGGGGTTTTCCTCTTGCCCGGTCAAAATACATATTGCCCGATAAAGGGTAATTAATGTATGGTTAATACTATCATGACTAGTATCAGCATAAACAAGCCTACTGTAAAGGTTCTTTATGTCCGATCAAGATTATTGAGCCCGATCGAGGGATTCTCTGACCAACATGGTTTTTCTGTTTGATTAGGTATGTATGTCATATGCCTATCATACTGTCAACTCACAAGTGAAAGAATGTTAAAGTCCTCTTAATTGAGGCATAGAAAAAAACTAATCCGAGTCAGTACCCCCCTTGGAGCACAATGGTTTGATTAGAAGTCAAGATTGGCGCAAATCCAACACATAATCATGCAAATACACACATTTCTATGGGGTTGCTTTCAATCCAAATAATGGCACACCTACGCAATCCAACAACTCAGAACCTAGAGAAGTAGCTTGATTCTCACTCTCCAACAAGGTCGAGCCTGTTTCTCTCGTTCAAGCCCGATTCAACTTTCAATTGGATCATTTGGAGGCCACTCACTGCCAAAACTAGCGGTGTCAATGTACAAACACACTCAAGGCATTGGTGTTGCAAAATCTACACATCTGTTGGAAAAAGACATTAACATATTTATGGCATGCCCAGTGGGACTTTCAATTGTGTATGGTTAGAGAAACCAGACGAAAGGTCTACATGGTAAACTTCATATCAAGTCCAAAAGATAGGAATAAAGGAATGGCCACCGCATGCTTGCCAGAAATTTCTTCTAAAGGTTCCTTCAATCATTTTGAAAGAACCATGAGAGAAGGCTTCAAAGCAGTAACTGAGATGGCACAAATGTCTCACAACATTACACAAAGTGTTGACAGAGGACACTTGAACACCAACCTGTAAGGTAGTGAAACTAGAGCATATCTGGGGCAGTTAACATAGCAAGTTATACAAGCCGTTCCAGAGGTCAAAACTCCCCGAAGCTTGGAAATGGCATCAAGAAAGATCATAATGCCAATAGGAGCAGCATGACACATTCTAGGGCAAACTAGTGGTCACACTAATTCTTCATCACTAGATTTAGTGATCAAAGGCCCATTTGAGGTGCCTGCACCACCGGTTCAGCCAGCAACTATGGACCCCATCTTCATTCCAACTACACAAGTGGCGACTAATACAGGTGAACAAGTAAATAACAACCAACTCGTAGCTCTTGGTACAACGGCTGCTGCACTACCCTCAAGGTATTAGGCGTCAAAGACTGGTGAAGTTGCTTTACCTCTAGAACCACCAAGAAGAAATATAAATGCTGAAAGATGGAGACAACCTGCAGGTTTCAATGTCCTTAATGCGCACAATAATGACAATAATAGAGGCAATGAAAGAGGCAGAAGGAACAATGCACTACGACACATGAGCCTAATTAGGATTCAGATGATGAAGAAGAAGCAAGGCCTGATCCTCTAATAGCTGCTATCGTTCCCACCCCAGCAGCAAATCCTAATTTGGCTATGCAAAAATGAAATTGAGGGCCTTAAGCAACTTATGCTTAATGATCAAGCTGGAGTTGGAACAAAGGCCAACTTATCGGAAACCTTATCTTGCATACATAGACGAGATTCCTTTCCCAAGGAATTTTAAAGTTTCAAATTTCCATATGTTCAATGTAGAAGATCTTCGTGCATTAGCGTTGGGGCATCAATGGCGTTTTTCAGCTTATTGTGTGGTCATTGGAAATCAACTAAATTTAAAACTAAGACAACCTGCAACTTATTGCGTGGTGGTGATGGTAGAGGTGGTGGAGGTTGAGGAAGAGGTGGCAGTGGCGGTAACAGCGTGGTGGTGGTGTTGTTGGTGGTGGAGGAGGAGAATGTGGTGGTTGTGGTGGTGGTGGAGGAGGATGTGATGGTGGAGGTGGCAACGGCGGTGGTGGTGGTGGTGACGGCGGCAGCGGCGGAGGAGGTGGTGGTGGTGGTGGTGGTGGTGGTCGCGTTGGATGTGGAAGTGGTGTCATTTAAAAAAATTAATGATGGTATTTTGGGAATTACATTTTTTTATTAAAGGCTCATCTCTGCTTCTTTTCTTTTGAAAAGAGCTTTGAAAAGCAATCCAGAGTATTTTAAACTGCTGAATTTTAAAGTGAAGCAGGTTTTTGACCAAAAAATGCAATCCCAAACCGGGACCTAGTACTATTAATTTCTTCAACAACAAAAGGACAGGAACTATCAGAATCCTAACAATTTAAATTAAGTAAATTTAGGTTTTAGCCCAAAAAAAAATTTCACTTTTGGAAAAAGCCAAAGCTTTTTGAAAAAAGACAGAAAAACCTCTAAACTTTCAAATCAAAGACATGCAAATGTAAAGGATTCTTTAGGAAATCCAAAATTAAATGAGGGTAATTTTGTCTATTTTTGCTTATTTTACAAAATTTCTCTATCTTTTGTGTTTTTCCAAAGTCTCCCTTTAAATTACCTTAGAACTAGAAGATGAAAGAACAATATTACAAAATTAAATGAAATCAAAGGCTTCAAGAGTAAATACAAAATTCTCTATTCAAGAACACAAGGGTTGATGATTTAGAGTTTCCTAACAAAAACAAAACTAACAAAACTAATCACATAGATCTCTTTCTTGGCAAGTAGTAGAAGTAGAACCGATCTCTGAATTAAGCATAGCCAAATAATCCTTGGTGTAAAATTCTCTTTTATTCATCTCATCTAACTTACTAGCCACATTCTCTTTCAAACATTCTAGCAAACCCTTGTACTTTTTAAGTTCATGTAGTTCTAAATTTTCATCAATAGGCTCATCCCACCATACACTGACCTTTTCTCCATCCCCACCAGCCTCATCTTCTTTCTCTTCTTCTTGATTGGCTTCTGAATCTTCATGGCTATCCTCAGCATCAACGGATCCAATATCCTCTTCATCATGATTGGCTTCTAAATCTTCATGACCATCCTCACCCTCAACGGGTCCAATGCTCTCATCATCATCATCATCCGTTGTACATGAAGCTTGTTCGCCAAGAAATCGATCAATGACAGTTTCCGCGGAGGGGTGTCCAAAGATGAAGGGCTTATTACCAGGCGAAAAGGTGATAATCGCAATCTGGGCACCAGACAAGCAGCAAAGGTCAGTGGCTT